CATCGCCTTCAAAAATTTTCGAACTCGGATCTGATAGGCTCTACTCGTAAAATTCTATCTATAAAAATTGCTTGATCATTGATGATTTTTTTAGGCTATTTATGTACCAGCCGATGATTTAACAGATCCAGCTCCGGCTACAACATTCGCTCACTTGGATGCAACAACTGTCTTATCTCGTGGAATTGCTGAATTAGGTATTTATCCAGCTGTCGATCCATTAGATTCAACATCACGTATTCTTGATCCAAATATTGTCGGTGAAGAACATTATTCAGTTGCACGTAGTATTCAAAAAACACTTCAAGTAAGATTTTAAAAAAATAAATAAGTTTTCAATCGCACACGCTAGAGCTTGTATTATCTAATAATAATAATTATACGAGTGTAGTCGATGTGCAAAAGAAAAAGAAAAATGATCTTTTTTTCATTTTAGTTTTTTTTTTGTTTTTAAAAAAAAAACAAAAGATTTTTATCGACAATTAATTTTTTATTTTTTTTTCATTATAGGATTATAAATCATTACAAGATATCATTGCTATTTTGGGTATGGATGAATTATCTGATGATGATAAATTAACTGTTGCTCGTGCTCGTAAAATTCAACGTTTTCTTTCACAACCTTTTCAAGTCCGTTTTATATTATTTATTAAAATGAATTTTTTTTTTTTTAAATATTTTTTTATTTTTAAAGGTCGCTGAAGTATTTACTGGTACACCAGGTAAATTAGTACCACTTAAAGAAACAATCAAAGGATTTAAAATGGTATTGAATGGTAAGAAATTCATTTATTTCTAGATTAAAGAATTTATATATTGTATGTTTTTTTTTAATAGGTGAATTGGATCATTTACCTGAAGGAGCTTTTTATATGGTCGGTGGTATTGAAGATGTTTCTGCTCGTGCTGAAAAACTTGCCTCAGAACGTTAGGATAAATCAATTCTATGAACAATATTAAATCGACTAAATGTTTCTAGTATATTTCTCTTTTCTTTTTTTTTTTGAATGTTTCTCTCTCTATGTACGAAACTATTGTTACCCTATAGCCTATTATTAGAAGAGTAAAAATAAATAAACATTTTTTTCCGTACTCTTTTTTTTTTTTTTTTGTCTTTTATGTTAATACTTGGATATAAAAGAGGGAGAGAAAGAGAAAAAAACACCATTTTAATATTCCCGTTTTGTTTTTTCTTTCTCAAATAAACAAAAAATTAAATTGTGCTATACGCGCATTAATTTATTTTAGTTTCTTTTTGTTTATTAAAAAAAAAAAAAGAAAAGAAAATCATAATGAAAACAAAATTTTATTTTAATCCTTTAACTCAAGAAATTATTCAATTACCTAAAATAATTTATGATATTATAGAATGTATTTTAATAAGATTAATATCAGATATTTCACTTGAACAAATTTCAATACTTCGTTGTTGTTTACCAAATTTTCTTTATCAACTTTTTCAACAAAAACCTTATTTAATTCCACAAAATGTTGTTGATTGGATTGTTCAAGGAATTCGAATATATAACAAATAATTTTCTTTTATAAAATAATATAATAGATTGATATTTATTTCTATTGAAATAACTTTTCATAGGAACCTGCAGTTTTCAACATTCAAATGTCATCGAAATTTTATTAGTCAGCAATGAATCAAGTAGGTGAATTCTTGATCGAGATTGTTTTGAAACAATATTTTGTATTCAATTTAGACTTATGACATGAGCAATTTTTTTGATCAACCCAAGGCCGACATTCCTGGCTTGTTATTAGACTTTTTCTGAGACTTCCAATTGACCTGTGATCACTCGGAAAAATATCTTGACAGGGATAATTCACAATGTTGATATTTGTCTTTTAGGTTCGAACTAGTCTGACGGTATTGTTGTCTCAGTATTTCTGAAATTCTACAATCAGTTAGTTATTTCTGTCTGGTTACTTTTTCGAGTGATCTCAGAAAAAGTCTTAACAACCTACCAGTGTTGGTCTTGCATAGATCGAAAGGTAAATCGCTTCGGAAAATAACTTCCAAAAGAACTTACCTGATCGGTTAATTGCTGATCAGTCAAATTCCGATGACTCTTGAATGATGAAAACCGCAGGTATCTATGAAGTTATTCAAAAAAATAATTAAGTACATTATATATTGAAATAAATAGTAAAATAGTTAATTCATTAGTCAATGTTTTTGTTATTATTCTTTCTAGTTTCTTGATTGATCAGTGAACAATCTATTTAATAGAAAAGAAAAGAGATTTTTGTTTGAAGTTCAAGATAAAAAGTCTTGTCTGATTGGTAACAAAAAATAAGACTATGCAAAGATTTGCAGAATAATCTGCATCAGACCTCGAAACAGGCCGCTCGGCCCGATGATTTTATCCTTGTTTGATATAACTTTTTCTGAGATTTGACTCACCCCTGAGGGGTTTAGGGAGAAGCTTCTCCATGCTATCCCGTAGGTCATCACTTTTTATAAAAGCGGAAAAATATGAAATAGCTGTCTATTGAGAAAAAAAACCTTTGTAAACGAAGTTTTATTTACACGTTTCCATAAAACGATCTATTATCCATTTCAAAAAGAGAATGAATTCGGAGTTTATAAAGTTGACATTAGGCTAAATTGAAATTGAAAATACAGTTAATCAAGCGAATTAAACAATGCTTTTCCAAAAACATTCTGGAATCCCTCAGAAAATTTTTCAAGCATTTTGATTCTCAGGTAGATTTGTACTTCCATTTATACTCTTTCTAATGGTGAAAACCCGAGCTCAATAGCCATCAGCATTGCCGAGTTACTCAACAAACAATCGAATCCATTCTTTTTTTAAATGGATAATAGTTTCTATGAGAATCGGTAATTGCTGTTTCAAAAACTACATTTAAACATACAAAAGCTTTAAATTTGTCACGCAAAAAGCTTGTGGAGTAAACTTATGCTCTACAAAACTGAGCCATTAAAACCTGTTTCATATACTGAATTTGATAGATTTATATTGAAATACAAGATTAACCAAAATAGTATTCTTTCCAACCATTATTTTAGATTTTTTGAAGTAATTCAATGATAGTTGTTCAATCTTACCATAGGAAAAGGCGAAAAAGTCTTACTCTCGCTCTAACTAGTCAAAAAATGAATGAAGATTTTGTGCCAAGACTTACACGTTATAGGTTATCTAATCTTCAAGACAAATGACACCGGATGTTTATACACAAAAAACGTCTGAACGTTAATTATTGCAACAGCAGTTAATATTTATTGTGTTCAATTTAAGTTTTTTTTGATGTGCTTAACTATAATCCTGTTTCAATTTAATGGACAAGAATCAGCCGACTAATCAATAACAACTCTATCAAAGCGAAGAATTTCAACAATAATTGAACATTTATCAATTGCAGATAATGAAAATAAAGACGAGGGACTATGAAAGTACGTAGTTTTAATGTCGAGAGATTTTTTTTTTCCTCAACGATAAATCTGTTAGATTTATTATTCTTTTTATTTAACATTGTAAATGTTCTCTATCTCTTCTTTTTCTACGTTAGGTGAAATAGGATGTATTTCGTGTTGACATATAATCATGCAGATCAGGCAGAAGTTTCAAAAAAAAAAAAGGATTCAGTTAAGAATTCCAAAACATGAGAATCTTGAGAGCCAGTTATGATCTTTTTATTCTGGCAAGCTGGATAGAACGATGAATTGTATAGAATTGAAAAGTAGATCATCATCCGTTGTTTCTTATATGTTTATATAAATCTCTTGCACACGCTTTTTCGTTCATTTCTATAATAAATGTTTTACAGTTAACATCTAGATATAAGCCCTCCGCCTTCCGTCAAAATGATCGAAATTAAGATAAACGCAGGGATAGATAGCCCATGATCTGATCTCTCATAAACAACTAAAATTTTTATTCTGTTGATGTTTTTTTTGATCGCGTATCTAAGAATTTAACAGAGTTCATTTGTTTTGAATTTACCTTTGTAACTATTATATAAAACAAGAGCTCTCTTTCAAACAAAAAAAAAATAACTATATAGAATGAAGGTCGATAGATAATTTTCAGTTGCCAAATAAGCTATTACTGACCTTTGTTTGTTGAATATCTTCCGAAAACATTATAGAATAGAACTGGAAATTTCATGCAATTTGAATGTGTCTAGTCTAAGATTGATTTTCGAGGAAAGGGAAACCTCAATAAACATCTAAATGGAAAAACAAGATATGTAACGTCTTATTATGAAGCCGACGATTAAGTATGAAACAAATGATCAATCGATCAGTTACATAAATGTTCGCAAGATACAGAAATATGATAAATATTTGTTATATAGGGCGCTATAAACACGATAGATATCGATTATTAAGCATACTCTATTTAGTTTTATCGATATATAAATATATATAGAAAGGATATGAATGTTTAATTTATGTACAATTCATTATCAGATTCTGAAGATGATTTTTTTTTATCGTCTTCTATGATAATTTAAAACAGAATATCAGAAAGAAACACTTCTTTACTTGTTTGTACAAGTCATGATAACATAGAACAAAAGCACTTTCTCTTATTGTTATTCTATGTTCGTCCTTCATCAACATACATATATTTATATATACATGTATTACTCACTGAATATTCTTCCATTTTAAATTGATTATTGAACTAGTTTAGTCTAGCCTCATAGATTAATGTGTACTCTTGACAAATGTAGAGAGCATATGTATTAAGTTAAATAAAACATTGAAATTTTTCTTATCAATCTATCAATAAAGAAAATTTCTTTTTTTTTACATCTTCAAATATGTAAGTATGAAATAATCTTAACTAAATCATTTTGACAGTTCTGTGTCTAATTGATTGACTAAATATATTATGTTTATTTAAAGAGTAATCAGAATAATGTTAAATAATGTATTATTTGTTTATTGTTCAGTGAGATAATAGATGAGTCGAGTCATTTTTCATTATCATCGTTGCATTAGTAATCGAGTCAACATTCTTCATTGCTGAACAGATAATTGAATATGTCTGAGATAGTAAGCGTCGACGCGTCAGTTACATTTCTTTTTCTATATCATATAACTATATTGCTTATCAATTTGATACTTAAAACAAAGCTAATGATCATTTCTTGTTTGATTTTCTTTTTCCTGCAGTAATATTTATCACTTCTTTATATATTCAATTATGGGTAACGATACTTGAGGTGAGATGACGAATGAAAATGAATTTTTTTTTTGAAATCTGTTCATATCTACTATAATTATGTAATAAGAGTTCAAGTTGTATGACAAACAGATCATTTTGAGTTTGTTCATTTTTATCATAACATTTTATTTTAATATTCTATGTTTAGATCTTCAATAATGAATAAAAAAAGATTAATTTTATTTATTTTATTAGAATTAATTAATAAAATAATTTGTTTATCATCAAATTCTTATTATTTAATTGATATTGATAAAAATTTGTCATTAAATAATAGTTATTGTTCAAATAAATTAATTAATAAAAATTTATATAGAATTCCAAATCAATGTCATAAACATCTTTTATGTAATCGATATCATTGTGATGATAAATCATTTCGTTGTATTAAAATTCGTGAAACATTATGTTGTTTATATAAATATATAGAAAAATATTGTCAAAAAGAATATTTAAAAGATCAATTTCGTTTAATTTATTTTCATATATCAATTCAACATGGTTATTGTGAAATAAATTTAGAACGAATTGAACAAAATGATCAAACATATTGTATTTCAAATTATATTGAAACAAAAAAAACAACAATTTCTCAATCTTATTTATCTTTAAAATATTTTCATCATCATTTAACTACAAAATTATCAAATATAAATTATTTACGATATGATACAACAACTATTTCATCAAAATCTTCATTTATTTATACAAATTTTATCATTGTATTATTATCAATATTATTATAGATAAATAAACACTATTACTTTTTTTTTTCTCTTTCCAAATTTTAATTGTTAAGTTGATCAAATTTTTAGATAAGATAACACGAACAACTACAATATTGACCTACATGTATATATATATATATATATCTATATACATTACTCTTCCTCCTTTCATCGTTCGCTTACTTAGAGAAGGCGTGTAACTTCGTATTCTTTTTCTTTTTTTTTTTTACCAGCTGTATGTTTGTCGGTACGAAAAGCATATAATAACACTATGAGAAATATTATTGCGCATATAAAATAAATCATAAAAATATTAATTTGTTTTTTTTTTTTGTAATATTATAGATAATAAAAGAACATAATGTTAAGTAATATATTAAAAAAAGGATTCTTATCAACTAATCCATTAACATCTATATCACGTTATGCATCAACAAGTGGTCAACATACAGTTTTAGTTGTACTTTATGAAGGTTTGATATATTAAATTGATTTATTTCATAATTGTTTTGTTGTTATATTTTTTAAAAAAAAAAAGGAGGTGAAGCTGGTCAAAAAAATAAAAATATCTTAGGATGTGTAGAAAATGCACTTGGTTTACGTGAATGGATTAAACAAAATAAACTTCAAGATCGTCTTAAACTTGTTGTTACATCTGATAAACAAGGTGAAAATTGTGTTGCTGAACAAATTTTACCAGAAGCAAGTGTTGTTATATCACAACCATTTTGGCCATGTTATCTTGATCAAGCACGTATTGATAAAGCAAAAAAATTACAATTAGCTATAACAGCTGGTGTTGGTTCTGATCATGTTAATCTCGAAGCAGCTTGTAAACGAGGTAGATTTTTATTATTACAAAAAAAAAATAAACTATCATATTTAATTCGTGTGTCTTTTTTTTCTCCTAATAATAGGAATTACTATTGGTATGTAAATCAATCAATATTCGATAAAAGTTATGCCTTGCGTTTTTTTTTTTTTTGTTTTGTTTAGCTGAAATAACAGGTTCAAATGTTGTTAGTGTTGCGGAACATGTTGTTATGCAAATATTAGCACTTGTACGAAATTTTATTCCAGCTTATAAAGTAAGTTATATAATGATATTTAAATGCATCATTATGTTTGTTGATAAATAATGCTTTAAGATATGGAATTATTCGACCTTTTGACCTTTCTATGAGTCATAACATTTTGACAAATTAAGTTTGGGATGTCCTTTTTTGAATAACTTCTTCGTGTTATGATCAATATATTTTCCTTATTTTATTGCACACTAATAAAATTTAATTGATATGATAGTAAGCTACTGAAAATGTAAAATTAAAGTAGAAGTTTTGTTTTTTCTTTTCTTTATATATGATTAAATAGAATGTGACGAGCTAATTAAAAATATGTATATTTTCAATTTTTCATTTCTTTTAAATTTCAAAACTATTTGTTTCACATATTACCGTGAAAGTTATTTATAGATGACCTTCATAGATTGAGTTTTTAACGCTTAATCCGAGAGAAAATAATAAAATCAAAAATTTTTCCTCTAAAACAATCATCGCAAAAATTTGAAAACTCATATATTCTTGATCAACTCGTCACACTCTATCTAATTATCTATCAAAGAAAAAAACTTCCACTTTAATTTTACATTTCTAGTATCTTATATAATAAACTACGCAAAATGGTAACGAAAGATGTAAATTGTATTATTTTGATCAAGACTTTGATTTTGAACACTTCCAGTTAGACTTAAACTGATAATCTAGATATGACATACAAGAACATCTAATAGTTTTGAATATTTTTGTTAATGTGAATTAGAGATGTGTAAAGTAAACTTGTTCAAGTCAAACTGACATTTATATTCATGAATAGTATTCGAAGTCATTTTGACATGTTCTTTATATAATAATCTGATAAAAAGATAATCTTACAATGATTATTTTTATCAAATTAGATAAATAACTGAATAAAACATTAAATGAAAAAAACAAAAGACATAAAATAATTCTATATTTTTAGCAAGTTGTCAATGGTGAATGGGATATTGCAGGAATAGCTGATAAAGCATATGATTTAGAAAATAAACATGTTGGTACAGTTGCTGCCGGTCGTATTGGTCTACGTGTTTTACAACGTCTTAAACCATTTGATGTTCATTTACATTATTATGATAAATTTCGTTTAGATAAATCACTTGAAAAAGAACTTAATGTAACATATCATCCAAGTGTTGAATCATTAGTTAAAGCATGTGATGTTATTACAATAAATTGTCCATTACATCCTGAAACTGAACATATGTTTAATAAAAAATTAATATCACAAATGAAAAAAGGTAGTTATATTGTTAATACAGCACGTGGAAAAATTGTAGATCGTGATGCTTTGGTTGATGCAATTAAATCAAATCATATTGAAGGTTATGCTGGAGATGTTTGGTATCCACAAGTAAGATAAACAAAAAGAAAAAAAAATTAAATAAACGACTTTGCTGGCACATCGAATCGTTTATAACAAATCAAATTTTTGATGTTCTGAACGTTCATATACTGGTGAGGAATATATATCGTGCTCATAGACATTATAGCCTCTAAGACGTTCTAACGAGAGAAGGTGTTCAGTTGATCCACGTCATTTTCAATGATATTTTGTCCCCGACATAGGGTCAAAATATCATTGAAAACGGCATGAATCAGTTGGGAATCTTTCCTCGTAAGATAAACTTATGCAAATTTTGTTTTCTTTTTATTTTATGCCTTGGTCATTTCTTGTTGTACACTATCAAGCTCTATATATTTCACATATGAAATCTTTCAAAAGAGCAAGGACTTATTGTCAACTTGCAAGATTATTCCATAGAATAGACGATTTCTCTATATTTGAGATCTGATGTTTGACCTTTTTCATTATTTTCAAATAAAAAATGTCCTCACACTCATACATGCATAACAACTAAGCTACATAACGAATCAACTAGAACAGAAAGAAATGCGCATATAAATATGTATGAACTAGGTTCAGGGTTCAAAACATGAGAGAAATATAGAATAGAAAACAATGATCTTTGATATATCACATCAAAGAAATAACTAACAAGAAGAACGAGAATGAAAAAGAAAATATATAATACTACCAGGATTAGCTGCTAACACCTTATATGAAGGGAGGTCGGTATATTGATGCTATTTTAACAATACTCAATGATTCTATTAAAATTTTTATGTGCTAATATCAGCACATCATTGCTGATAAACTGGCATAAACAACTCCTGTATAAATGGAAAATATTCTTTTGGTCCCTGAATCGCTGGAGGGGAATATGGAAGATATGGTTATAGGAACGAGGTCTGTTATTTTTATTCAGAGTTTCCATGTTTGATTTACGCATGAAACTCTACAAGAATCTACAAACTATCTTAAGTTCATTTCAAAAATAAATTTTTCCATATACTCCTTCAGGAATCCAGAGGGCAAAAAAATATTTTCCATTTATAAAAGAGTTATTTATATCAGCTTATCAAGAATGATGTGCTGATCATTAATATATAAAAGTTGTTTTAATAGGATCATTGAGTATTGTTAAAATATTATCAATATACCGGCGCTCCCCTCCTCTCATATAGGAAAATAGGCTACACTATGGAATAACCTTGCAAGTTGATAGTAAGTCCCTGCTCTTTCGAAAGGTCTTATCTGTGAAACATATACAACTCGATCATGTGCAATTTTTTAGAATGTTTCACGTTGCTTCTCACTTATTCTGTGACACTGAGTTGAGCACACTAGAATATCAAAGAGTCAAGAAATGATCGAGGCCTAAGAAAAGGAAAACAAAATTTGCATTAGCTTATCTTAGAGACTACAATATCTATGAGTATCTTATATATTCCTAACCAGTATATGAACCTTCAGAACATCAAAAACTTGATTTCTTATAAACGATTGAACGCACCGGAAATTGCTCTAAAAAAGTACATATATGATATCCTGGTTCACGATAGATCACCAAGTCCGGCGAGACTCTTTAAAGATTTGTGTTGTTTATTTATTTCTAGCCAGCAGCACCAGATCATCCATGGCGTTCAATGCCTCGACATGCAATGACACCACATTATTCAGGTACAACACTTAGTGCTCAAGCACGTTATGCAGCTGGTGTTAGAGAAGTTCTTGGTAATTGGCTTGATGGAAAACCACAACGTGAAGAATATTTAATTGTTGATAAAGGAAAAGTTGTTAGCCGTGCCTATACAGAAGGTGATGCAACAAAAGGTCATGCACAAAATTAAATAAAAAGATTGATCTTTTTTTTTTATGTTCGATTCTTTGATTGTTAAAAGTAGAATCTATTTATGTAGTTTAGTTTTCATGAAACAAGGTGATTAAATTTTTAATTATGGTTACTTATCGTTATTTAATAGAACTTGTTATAAACGATAAACAATTGTTTGTCTTTTCTAAATTTTGTTTGACCTTCGTATTTGTCCTTTCTACAAATCAGGACATATCACCTTTAACATAGTGATATTGACAATAACCTACATATCGTGTCCTAGTCTTCATTTCATATGTTTTCATAAAACGACGCTGTCACGTTACCATAAAACTTGTACAGACCCATTACTATTTTTGCATCGAAATTTTACTGATATTTTGTGTCTCTTCCTTAGGTTTGTAAAGAATTCAACGGTGAATTTATTTTTTTTTAAAAAAAGCAATAAAATACCATAGAACATAATCGAAAAATATTGAGACATCAGTTTCTTCTATCTAATATTTTTTTAAAATTTTCTCAATACTCAAAAACAAAATATAATAATTTTCTTTTTGTAAGTACAGTCAGTAGCAGAGATGGGATCGGTTCGGTTCGAAACTTTTCAAATACATCTCGGTCTTTGTTCGATTCATTTCTTAGTTAAATTGATATAGTTTAAGTCAGTGTTTTGACATCTAAAACAAGAAACTAGAAAGAGAAAAGAGGTTCTTAGTAACTAATAGCAATATTGATCTTTATCTGCTGAAAAAATTAGTTCGAACTTAAAATTTAATTAAAAAAAAAATTGGACAAGTATTGATGTGAAAGATAAAAAATTCAATTGTTAGAAATGTTTCGGTATTCCTGCGCTAAAACTTGATGAAGAAAAAAGTGAATTATTTGAAAAATTTCTATCGTGCAAATATTGTCATATGACATATTCATATTCATCCAGTACTAGAAACATCAATAAACATATTCGAATTTGTAATGAATTTAATTCTAGTCAAACTCATTTTTATAACATCAATAGAAAATAATTCTTTACAATTAATTAATACATCAATATCATCATCTTCCTCTTCTTCAAATAACAGAACTCTTGAATCACACAAAAAAATGACAAATTTGTTAACTGTATTTAGTTGTAGTTATCCCTAGTAGACTTCTAAAAAAAATTGTTTTTCGGTTCGGTTCAGTTAGAAAAGATTCGGTTTAAATATTGAAAAACCTGAACCAATCCTGTCTCTGGTCAGTAGTTGCTCTTAATTTTACGAAAATATGCTTTTGTCATTGGAAACCAAAACGATATTTTTCAAGAAACTTTTGCATCATTCTTTAAATTACACAAAAATTCAATATTAATACTGAGTGCACAATTGTCTATTACTATTAGTATGACAGAATTATTGACAAATTATGTCAGAGATTAAAAGCTATTAGCATAATCCGTGTAAGATTGTAAAATGTCAAACACGATGTCGTTAATCACAAGGAGATCGTTGTGCTCCATCTACTTTAGGAAACATTTCTTTACAATTCTCGACATTGCCAATTATGAAATGATCCTCGACAATCCACTAATGGCTGTTTGTCTTGGATGGCGCATCCGATAGTATGATAACTACATTTGCTGTTGTGGTTAGGAGGTGGTACTTTAATTTTAGAAATACCTTAAAAAGGTATTAAAGTTAAAGTACGATACTTTAAAACTTTAACTTTAATAAAGTCGACAAAGGGTGTCCTTACGTCCTCAATATCTATACTATACGGGTACCCTTAGGGCCTCAAGTGCTACTATAAGTGTGATCTTAGGTCCTCAAGGCCTGCACTATACAGATACCCTTAGGTCCTCGACGTATTTACTGTAGCCTATAGTATAGATCTCGAGGACCTAAGGGTATCCCTTTGGTATAGCACTTGAGGACCGAAGGGTACCTCTATAGTATAGGCCTTGAGGCCATAAGGGTACCCCTTATCGACTTTAATGCGGATTTTATTAAAGTTAAAGTGTCATCCCTAATGTGGTTAGTTACCGTATGTACATACTACAAGATAGCTGAACGGCAGGATATTCTTCCTTCCTGTGGAAAGCAGGCGAGACAGTGCAAATTTGTATCCTGTATATTTCCGCATTTCTTCTAGATCGCGTTTCATACAAAACACGAGCCAAAACCACAAGAAACAATTTTGATATACATATATAGATCGTAAAATAAATAATTTATCATATAAAAAATTGTTGTGGTTGATAAGCGTTTAATTACGAAATTGCGATCAGGTATTTTTACAAATTCTTAATAATTGTTGATTCAATAAATATTTTTAAAAACTAAATATTCGAATAATTAATTTCATCTAATGATTTTATTGATCATCGTAATCTAAAATTCGAATTATTTATTATTATTAATTTTTATTTTCATCTCATCATTTAGTCACTATTTAAAAGTGTACACTTATTTGTAAAAAAAGAAAAAATACAATAAAACTAACATGTCTCAATGATATAAGCTGGTGGTAATGGTTCATTAAAATCAGTTTGTATAATAGTAGAAGATTCTGTTAAATTAATATTTATCTTATATTCATCATTTATT